TCTCTCTCTCTCTCTCTCTCTCTCTCTCTCTCTCTCTCTCCTTTGTGCTGATTGTTTTTACATGCAGTTCCATGTGAAACCTGAAGAAAGGTGCACAATAACTCAACAATCATTGAGCATGGGATATTACATTTTTTCGTTGTTGATTGAGAAAGGCGGTGCACCGTTTAAAATTGGCTGTTGATGGTGATATCACATGTACATTTTGTATTCTATTGCTGCTGTCGCTCTTGCTCTCGTGCCAACCATAGTAACTGTTGTTGTTGCTGCTGCTGCTGCTGCTGCTGTTGCTGCTGCTGCTGCTGTTACTACTACCGCTGGTGATAGTTAGAATGCTCATGGTAGTAATCGTGCCTTCTGTCTCATTATATATTGCAGACCCATTCGAGAAGTAATCCAGCAATCCCTTAGTAGACAAAGAAAACAGGAAAAAAAAAAAACTGACTTGGAACAGACATAGGTGAAAGGCAGGTATTGTTTATTTGCTGATAGTCGAGACGGATTTCAAGTACGCATATAGTACATTCATGAGTACATGTATTAAAGAGTTGTTTAAAGTTAGGGCAAAAGAATAGGCATTCGGTTTGGTTAAAACAAATACGTACGGTCATACTTGTTTTTTCTCTACCTGTAGATAGGCACATATCTTAGATATGATAGAAAAAAGGTAAAATACAATACAAAAGCAAACAAACAAACAAATGAATGATAAAAAATAAGTAATACATTATCGTAGGTAGATAATGTGTTCTCACTCATGCATATTGAATAAACACATTCATTTTTGTATATTATTATATTGATACATTCACATTATTTGACTTAAGTTGAAAAAACCCCTGAAGACGAATAAATATTAAAGTGCACATACGTGCATTTTGCTCTTTTCGATAGAAAAATTATTTGAAATGAGAAACAATCCCAGCTATTAAATACGGAACCTACTCTACGTCATAATAAATGTAAGGGAGGTAATCTGTGTTTTGCTCAGTTCTGTTGCAATTCAGATAGCACAACTGAAGAGAAAAGACACAGTGCACAGATAACTAACTAACTAACTAACTAACTAACTAACTAACCAAGTAACTAAGTAACTAACTAACTAACTAACTAACTAACTAACTAACTAACTAACTAACTAACTAACTAATTGATTGATTGACTGACTGACTGACTGATTGACTTATTACCCGACTGACTGAATAAGTGACTGACCGGCAAGTGATAAATAAATTTAAGTACATAAATTATATAAAGATACACACACACACACACACAAAATTAAAATAAATAAGGGAAAGAGACACCAGAGACTATCTCTTTCACTGACCAATAATAATAATCAAGACATTATGGTTTGACTTAGTAGTTAAAGAGGCACCAAAATGACGTCACTGGGTGTCCTGTGCGCCCACCGTGCAGTAGGCCGTTTGTTGGGTGAAGGGGTTGAAGGGGTGGGTCAAGGTGACCATACGGGAGAGAGGCCCCATATGCTTGTTCTCCTGGGCTTCAAGCTTCTGGTGGTACTCCCCCAGGGGAAACTCTCTGTGTGTGGAAGGGCGGAAGCGATAGGTAAATAATTGTATAGTATCAATTGAAGGGTTCAGAACAGAGAGAGGAAATCACAATTTGCTACATGAAAAAAAGAGTTCTTAGTGCCGTATGACGACATAATATTACGCCAGGCGAGACTACACAACATAGCATTTGAATGAACTGGCTGGATGACAATAGTATAAATCAGAGTTTTTGTTAGTTTGTTTGTTTCACATGTACAAATCACTCAAAGTCGGTAGTATAAACTGAAGCCCTATATTTTTGTTTGGTTTTGTTGTTGTTGTTGTTGTTGTTGTTGTCGTTGTTGTTGTTGTTGTTGTTGTTGTTGTTGTTATTGTTGTTTTGGGAGGGGGGGTTGGAGTTGGTTGCTTTTTAAAGATTCTTTTTCACCAGACAAACATTTTTTTTCTCGAAACGACATCCAGGTGACTTAATTAGACCCTTAGCTTTACTGACCACATTAAGTATGAATATATTACTTATGTGTCAGTACCTTCGGGTAATAAAAAAACCCAACAAACCCGGCGCTTTTAATCAAGGAACCTTAAAATTCAGGAAGTCGGGGGAATGATTTTGTTAAGGGGAAGAGGGAAAGGAGAAAACGGGGGGAA